TTATTTTTGATCTTCAATAATGATTTACCTGCTGGCATTGGTGTTAATGTGAGGCTTTTCGCCGATGATTGTATACTTTACCAGGAAATTAACGCCCCAGAAGATCATGTAAAACTGAACAATGCCTTGCAGTTCATATCTAAGTGGTGTGCTCTTTGGCAAATGACCCTGAATGTTAAAAAATCTGCTCTCTTGAGGATAACGAGAAAAAAGCAAGTATCTGAATTTGTTTACGTTATAATTAACTCTCCACTTCCGGTAGTGACTGAACAGAAATATCTAGGTTTAACTTTAACGCAAGATTTTAGACGGGATATCCACGTTAGTCATGTCACATCAGCTGCATTAAAACGGCTGTTTTTCCTTCGTGGAAGTCTCGCTTCCACGCCACCTGAAACGAAACTTCTAGCCTACAAAGCATTCGTGAGACCTGTCTTAGAATATGCAAACGTCACGTGGTCTCCCTTTACAAACAATCTCATAAATGCCCTAGAACGAATACAACGAAAAGCGCTAAGATTTGTCTATAACAAGTACAGAATAACTGACTCACCCACAGAACTTTTAAAAAAAGCAGGTCACTTAAAAATAAAAAACCGCGCTAAACTGGCACGTCAGAAATTCCTATATCAGTTAGTTCAGCAACACCTAAAGATAGATAGTTCAAAGTACATGTCATTCAAAGAAACAAGGCCAACACGACAAAAGCATTCTCAGACACTGAATGAATATCAGTGCCGGACGGACTGTCTGAATCTTTTTTTCCACTAGCAATTCGCGAATGGAATAACTTGCCAATCAGTATAACAAGCAGTCAATCACTGGAAACTTTTTCATCACTGCTCGATTGTTTTTTATTGTCATCAGAATTGACGAACTCTGTTTTTTTCTTGTCCACTGTTTGAAGTGCTCACTATTCTTTTTTTTCAGTACTAGTTGGAATTGATGTCCTATGCTACTGAATGTAATTTAGTGGTACTGATGTAGTCATCAAATGTATTTCTGTCGGCTTTGTCTCACTCGTTATTACAATAATTCAGTGAATACCCTCTGTATAAATCTTGCCCTTTCAATGTATGTGCCCTTCCTGCAATAATCCCTGTTGGGATTGGCAGTATACGTAAATAAATAAAAATAAATAATGATGGCCAACGCTCCTCAAATCCTGAAGCTGTAGCAGATGACTTTAATGATTACTTCAAATACGTTTTTTTCTACTGATAACGGCATCACTCCTCTATTTTCCGCACACCGCAAACTACCTGCCTTTTCTCATCTTGAATGTAGCTCCTCTGGACCTTTACTGAATCCTGAGGCTTCAAAGCAATATGGCTCAAACGGTAGTTCATATATGTTTCTAAAATTGTCTTTCAAACTGATGGACTAATTAATTTATTGAAATATATAAAATTATCAATATTATCTGCAGCAGTTACCCAGCGGTAGAAAATAGTAAATTTGCCCGTGTCTGAGTGCGGAAACCAAATAAATGAATCAATTTACAGTTCAATATTTATATTTTATTCCAGCTCTGAATTTTCGGAGCTTATATTCAACAAAAAAAATGGTAGAATACCTAAATACATGCGATATGCTTTCAAGACTAGTGCACGGCTTCGTGGTGGCTATTCTACTGTTGCTACATAGTTGCTTCATCTTCAGTATTAGATTGCTTCCTCTTTTTACGACTGAAAAGAGGCATCGAGCATTCAAAGTTTTTTGACATAGTTTGGCATGCTAAACCTTTACTTTTATTTTACAATTTCTTGTGTGAACAACGAACAAGCGGCTTGCTTGGAAAGCAGATTACTTGCTGTCGTACTCAATTTTTTTATGGTTACATCAATCACACCAGGAAGAGGCCAGAAGACTCTGTGCTTCGTCCGCTCTTGTTTATTGTTTACAAAAATGACAGAGAAGAAATCATTGGTGATTCTAAAATAAACTTGGAATGCATGCAGACGAGAGATTAAGGTGTAGAACCATATACGTCAGATCAGAATGCGCTAACTAGTGTTTTTTTCGTCATTATGTAGCGAGAGTGAAACATGAAGGAATTAAAAAAAAAATTATAGTCCTGACCTTCGCAAATAAAAAAAGGCAGATCCCACGAATTGTGGAAATTGATTACATGGCAAGCACGAATAAGGCCGGTTGATATGTTACTTTAAAATCAGCAGGTTGATATATCACCTTAAAATTTACGGAAGCACACGTAAATTGTGCGGTACGTACTTTTCATGCCATGATTATAATGTTTGGACGTGCCATTTACCTTCGTTGCCTATTCACGTGACGCAATGTCTGGAGCTAGCGAAACTGCCGTGAACACGCTATGAGCGTAGAATGTAGACATGTTTTACATCCCACGCATGTCATGATTATCATGTTTACATGTGTCACTTACCTTCGTCGTCCATTCACGTAACGTGACACCGAAATTGGTATATGTGGAGCTAGCGAAACGGCTGCGAGTGCGCTAGGAGCGTAGCATATCGTCATGTTCTACATGACACGCATGTCAAGTATGTTATGTTCGGACGTGTTATTTACCTTCATCGTTGATGCACATCATGTACTAACAAATTTGGTATATGTGAAGCTAGCGACAGGGCCGCGAGTACATCATGAGCCTGGTATGTTGTCATGTTCTTACATGACACTGATGCCAGAATTATTATGTTTGCACCAGTCATATATATTTCTCATTCATTGAGGTCGCGTAATATCAAATTTGGTATTTGTGAAAGCAAGTGAAGCAGCCCACAGCGCATCAAGAGCGACGCCTTCGTCATATATTCACGCACCGTAATACCGAATTCGGTATATGTGAAGCTATAGCGAAACAGCCGCTAGCGCACCATGAGCGTGGCGTGATTAAATGACACGTCATAACATAAGGGTCGTGACATGCATGTCATTATTTCCATGTTAGGGTCGATCACTTATGTTCGCTGTGAAGTCACGTCTCACCATACCACTTTTGCAAATAGTCCTGTGAACAGAACCACCTCAAAAGCAGCAAGACTATACAATGTAAATCATGACATTCAAAACATACATGTTATAGTTTTCATGATATGACTAGTAAATTATGCTCGTCATACCATCATGTTATGCCATACAAATTTTGGTATTGATACCATTATTCAGACGGCCAGGAGAACGAAAAGTTGTATGTGGCAAGATAGATAGATAGATAGATAGATAGATAGATAGATAGATAGATAGATAGATAGATAGATAGATAGATAGATAGATAGATAGATAGATAGATAGATTGATAGATTGATAGACAGATAGATAGATAGATAGATAGATTGATAGATAGGTAGATAGATTGATAGATAGATAGATAGATAGATAGATAGATAGATAGATAGATAGATAGATAGATAGATAGATAGATAGATAGATAGATAGATAGATAGATAGATAGATAGATAGATATAGATAATTAGAAGTATACAAAGTACATTTTTTGCTAAGAAATGCGTTGAATTCACAAATTGCGAAGCTTGCAATTATTGACAGACAGATTTAAGGAGAAAAGCTGGACAATTCTGAGGTAAAGTGCGTTTTCTTCTGGGTTTTCGCTACGTTTTAGTTAAGGAATGTTAGGTTTTCCTAGTTCGTTTACATGTTGTTCCTAAGCTAACTAGGTGATGGCAGATGGTTTCTAGGCTGCTTTTTCAGGGCACAGAGGTTTGAGTCATAGACATGAGAGTGTTGTTCAAACTTCCAAGACCCTTGTATGCGGTGAAATCGAACGTTCTCACCTCGCATAATAGATTGTCCAGCAAGTGTTTTTTCTCGTTACCTACTGTTCTCTCGCATATATTGCATGACTACTGTGCAAAGTTGCTTTAGCGACGCTGCAAGGTGCTGCTAGGGCGTTTAGTCATGGGTTATTCCCGATTCCTTATGAAAGCTTTTCTCAGCGACGTGCTACCCATTCCTCGAAATCTTAACAGGTGTATTCAATCCACTTGTTACCTTGATCTTCGATGAACCAGCAGTGAGCAAGCACTGAAATATACACAGAGATTGCGGTCCTATTAGTAATACTTGGCTGATAGCGAAAAAATTTGACATAAGCAGACTGTTCTGCATGCAATCGCATACTGCATTGTATGTTATCTATTTTAACAGTTCATGTCATCTGCCAGAGTTTTTTCATCTAGGCAAGCTGTTAAAAAGCGTTAATTATTGAGCAACTTGAGCTCGAGGAATGCTGCGTTTTCCCAAATATATCTTAGCATCGGCACCGCCCAACATTACAGGACTGCTTTACCGACAATATGCTTTTTAGCTCACGAACGTATGCTTTTGATTCCAAAACTTAAAATTGTTTCTAGCATGGTTGAGCACCTGAAATACCGAACAGCTCCATTTGCTTTGAATAACTACAACTTTGCCTTTATTATCACTCTCCTTAAAAGTGGTGGTACTGGGAAGTAATAGAAAGGTAAAGAAATACCGCACAATTTTAGTTGCCTTCAAAATTTAGTGTGGCCTAGTTAGAATCAAGAAAAAAGCTTTACAATTTGACTATTTTTTTTTCTTGAAGACAGAATACTTGTAGAATTTTGACAATGAATGATTTAGAAATTCATTGAAATCATCCATTTCCCCTATCACTCTCGTGTGATGAAGTCAACTATCATAATGAATTGAGGAATTCCAAATCTCAGGGTTGTATAGTGCTGTGTTCATAGATGTACAGAAGCGTACACGGTGGTCTGTTCTTTTGTCATAGTCATTTACGCTTCCTTCTTGCTTTGTTTAGCCTGCGTACTGAATTCGCTCGTTTGTTTTGGCGCAAGGAGTTTCTTCTTCCTCGCTACCTCCTATAATAATGACGTCAGGCACAGCGTGCACTGAAATAAATTTCTGAATAACTAGCGTAACTTGTAAAATTTTCAGATGTGCAAAACTAGACAAGTTGCCAAATATTAGACATTTCGCCACTTAGGTAATCAGTATTATGTGTCTTGCAGGGTGGCAACTATATTGTAAGCTTGCTGGATAACTACGCCACAGCAACGGGCGTCCTGTTTATTGTTTTCGTGGAGTCCATGGTGGTGTGCTGGTTTTACGGTGAGTTTATTTTGCTTGATTGCCATAGCTTCGATTGCAGCTACGCTTATTTGCATCAAAAGATGACACGCTGCTGTGCTGATTTGTGATTTGTGGTTTTTCAGTCGCACGTATGACGCAATAACATACAGATGATACGTATCAGTGCATTATTTCCTGCTCTGTACGTAAGCCACAGTCACGTGCCGTTAAAGTTAGAATTTCACGTGCGGAAGAAATTCACAGGCGGAGAACGAAGACGAAGAATAAAAACAAAAAAAAACTGAGGACAAGTTTGCAACGGAATTTTTGTTGAAACAATATATACATTTGAAATCTGTCATGCATGAATACACCGAAATAAATAACCGCGAAAAGGAAGCTTTCAAGATTTATTATCAGAACAAAATATTTCTTGTTTGATTTAACATCACAAAACCGCCATATGATTAGAAGAGACACCGTAATGAAAGACTCCGGAAATTTCTACCACGTGGGGTTCTTTAACGTGCTTCTAAGTCTAAGCACATGGGCCTCAAGCACTTTGTCTCCAGCGAAAATGCGGCCGCCACGGCCGAGATTCAGTGTCACCTAAAGGGTTGCCACTAACTTTCACGTAATGTCGCAAAATGACAATAAAAATGTACCAAAAGTCACCTGTTTCCATCTAAATTCACCAGAAAGGTCGTCACTTCATATACGCGCGGCATGCCAAGTAAGAAAGTTTGCAAGGTTACTACAGCCCCGTAGAATACAGTATAATCCGTAATCTCTAATTGATGTTGCGTTTTTCAATGCCAATCACACCAACCAATTCAATGTTGCCGTGCTGGTTTGCCGACTGGATGCAAGATGGGCGCAGTGTTACCACTAGTCATGATTCAAATGCTCATCATTTTCTCATAGTAGTCCACTTGTTTTAAAGAAAGAAGTGCTGCAAATTTTCACTCAAAAGCGTGACAGCTTGACTCATGTTCGAAAGTGGCACGCTAACAGGACTCTTGCGTTAGCATCCCTTCCTTTTCTATAGCTGAGATAGAATTAATGTTCCTATAAGCTATTGGCGCGGGCTATCATTGATAGTTGTTTGAGCCTTCCCTGTCGTTTTCCTTAGATTTTTTTCTTGGTTTTGTCATTATGTCCTTACCCATCATAGCATTGCTCATCATTCGTCACACAATTTTTTTGTCTACCGTATATAATTTCGCCCTCGGCAAACTAAACATAGTTGCAAGTTAGCGCTCATTTTCCTCTTCTTCTGTCGTTGTTCTGAGCTCGTGCTATAAAAGTCGTCATGTAATGACCATTTTCCAGAGTCAAGACGAACTTCGCCTTTCCTATGATACCTCGGACATTCGTCTTCCTGCTTCGCTTTTCATATGTACCCAGGTTCGTGACACTGTGAAGAGCTTCATGGGAGCTGCTATTCCTGCGCACCACCATCTCCACTACATTCAGCTCCAACCAACTCGCTGGACCTCATTAGGCAAGAAATCGCGTTCGCGTCGGTTTGTTGCAGTCCTCGTCAGGTGCCAACGTACGCCCACGAGGCGACGCTCTCAGCAGGTACCTCGATCCCGGCGCCCACACCAGGCGATTATGTACCGCTGGCTTTATTGTTACCACCGATATGTCTACAGCAGTATTACACTTTGCCGCGTCTTCCTCATCCAATATATTACTACTGCGGCTATGAGGAACACATCTCTTGGTTTTTACGAATGCGCCATTAGCACGAACAACCCGGCTACGGTACAGAGTAACGTGGATGCGACATTCCTCCTATGAACAGCCAGTGGATGCCTTAACGGTTTTCTTATCACCTGTCGCCCTTTTTTCCTTGCAGTATCAATATGATCGTGAAAAACAGTGAGTATCACCACAGGTCACCTTCTCCACATCGCCGTTCCTTGCCGGTTCAGTTACCAGTCTCCAATTTTTCAAATGCATACTCGGGAAACTTCCCAATGCAGTTTTAGGCGGGGTGACTGCATACACCAGACAGCCACAATTTCTGGAGACCAACCTTAGAGCTTGTTAGTAGTGTTAGTACAATGCATATGCATCGAAGCTGTCAGTAGATACGGGCGTTGCCATTTCGATTTCTCGCGCTGATCTTGGTTCCCGTCTCCGCAAAGTGACCATGTCTTACGTGGACCCATCTTTTCATGCCGCGACGAACGCCATTACTTGGCCTGTCGCCCAGTGAACATTGATGTTTTCATTGACGGTATTCGTCATCATATTGTCAGCGCGATTTTTCGTGAGAGCCCTCACGACCTCATTTTCCGTTGAGAATTCCTGTCTTTTTCATCCGCTTCTACAACTTGTCATCAGCGCCTCATTTTTCTCGATGCCACTGAATTTTCTTTACCAGAACCGAAAGGGTGCTTTCGGCTCCTCACCACCTCAGATGATGTTCTTTTTCGATCGAGAGCAGGAGTAACAAGCTTTAATTCCAACAGTATCGTGGATGGCGACGTGGTTGTACTACCTTACGGCCACACCTTACATTGGGGCACTATTCATTTTAGGCGTTGTTCGTTTATCTGAATGGTCTGCTTTTGTTACTGCCTTACATCAGACCCCGAACCCAATATTGTCACCCCGTTGTTCAACAGTCAATTGAGCTATACACCCTCCTCCCGTCATAGTTGTTGCCCTTCCGAGCCAATAATTCCTAGTGCATTCAAGCTCACTATCACTCAATTCTTCCTCAGCTTTGTCGGCGACGGTAAGCCCTAATCTGATTGCCGGCCACTAGTAAAAGTCACTCAACCTACTAAACCAACATCTTTCGCTGTTCAAAGTTTATTCGGCGGATATTAGTGTGACCACTGCCGCTAGCCACCACATTCAGACTGACGGCTCCCAAATTATTCACCTGCGAACTTATGGCGTCCCTCTGGCAGTGCGCAAGATCGTCGAAAGCAACGTCTCAAACATGCTTCGGCCAAATATCATACGTTCTTCCTCGAACCGTGGTCTTTCCCATTCGTTTTAGTGCAAAAGAAAGCTAGAACATTATATTTTAGCGTCGACTACTTAGCGCTGAACAAAACAACGCGCAAACGTTTGAACCCTCTGGCACGGACCGGCGACGCACCGCGTTACATACGTTGCATGACGCCGAGTATTTTTATAGCCTTGATCTACAATTGTGCGGCTAGCGAATACCGATGCCTGAATCGAACAAAGAGAAAACGACTTTTTGCACCCAAGATGGGCTGTATGAATTATTAATAATGCGTTTCGGACTTCGAAACGCACCCGCTACCTTCAAAGCATAATCGACAGCAGTGTTGCAACAGCGGCATTGGAATGAATTCTGGATCAATTACATTTTTAAGACTTCGAAATGGAAATAAGTGGCGGCAAAGTTTGAAGTAATGAACTGGGAATTCAATTGAGCGCATTTCTCAGATAATTGTGTTTCAATCTTCAAACATTAGTGATACAGACCCTCGAATTCAACAATGAAGCAGTAATGTAGACAGGCTTGGTTGATTACAAGTATGATACATTCATTGGCAACACATGTACACAATTCTGTCCTTATATATAGAATGTGTTGCTTCGAAGTTTTGGTTTATTCTTGACGTAACGACGGTTCTATGAAATGTTTTTTTTCCTCTAAGTGTCGCCTCAGCCGCCTGCGGTCTCCCCATCCTTCACATTGTTTTTGCTTCTGACGCCGCCAATGACTCGCACACATATTCAAAAAAGTGCTTCTCTAAATTGTGCTGCTATTGACGCCGGTGGGATATTTGTGTTTACTGCAAGCTCTCGTATACCAGCTTGGGCAGTCTCGCCACATATTTACCCCCCCTTCTTTTTGCCATAATACCCCCCTGCCTATACAGACCTCTGCATAAAATTCTGTAGTAAAGATCTGTAGGTCTGCGCAACACACATTTTTACACGATAATTGTGTGCTGTGTTATCTGCATTCATTGCGATCAACGTTTGTACAAGATGAACCGTACAGAGAGCGACAGAATAAACTGCTGAAAGCATTTGTTCAGGTATCCAGCCCAAGCCGGTGATTCCACGTAACCTTGGCGGCAGCTCCCCGAATACCTACGCGACAATTCACCAAGTCAACAATTAAGCATTAACGCATTCAATCTTAAACAATATTAAAACATCTTTCGTTTGAACATAGACTCTTAGAAAAAACAAGGGTCTGTGTATCGGCTTTTGGGCTGCTGAAATAACATAGCGGGACTTCAACAGAAGAGTAAACGCCATTGTTTATCGACAGCGGTTAATAAACTTCTGTAGGGAGAAGGCAAAAGAGGGTGTCAGCTATGGTAACAGCAAAGGTGCTGTGTGCACATATGAAAGCGCACACTTGCCGATAGGATACAGCCTGCTCATTCACTAACTAAATACTAGCCGTTTACTTGTCACAAAAAGCATTACCCTCCTAGTCAGTGGGTGTAGTAAAGTACTGATTATTGAAACATGCTAGTTTGCTAAGTAGTTCGTGAATAGTGCTGACTCAAATAAATAATAAAAACTTAATTTTTATTTAACGGGCGTCTATGTGAGCACGTACATTGCCACATCAAGATAACTAAATTACAGAAGTACATGTAGAATATTAAGCGAAACGCAGTTGTTCACATGGATTATTAGTGGTCACTATATAATTACTTTATGTAATTACCATGTCAATTAGGTACGCATCAAAGCAACATACACAGAGGCATGATCAAATCACAGAAGAGGAGATACATGCAAACTAGTGCATAGAATATAAAGACATAGCCGGTATCGTATTCTGTAGCATCCTACACTCCTGTCGCACCAACACGTTGACCCTTACTGCCACTCTAATATGGCACACATGGAAGGTGCTCCTGCTCTTCTGAACACCCGACTTCATCGACAACTTAACCAATCCAAAACTGCAGGTGGTGGTGTTTTACATCACTGCACTTATCAGACAGAGGAAAAAAAAGCGGTTCCAGATATACCACGTTATCTACAAAGTTGCGTTATCTATAGCCGTTGCAATAAACTTGTACTGCCCCTGACTTGGACGTCAAATGGGGATCTTTGGATCGCGAGAGCTGTTGGCCTTCTGACTCACTAGGCACAAACGGCCTAGCTGCAAGCTAGTGAAGCCACTGAAGTGACCAATTTTTTTTTTTTTGCGCAACAATATCTTTACACCACGAAGCTCCACGTGTTCTGCTCAGTGACTGTGGCTTGGTCTTCCTTTCCTCTATTGTTGCTGGGGTTCTGTATACCACTAGCACCATACAGAAGACAACTTCCACTAATGGCTCAATCGAATCCTTTGATCACACCCTGTTGGACATTATTGCTGTGTACATCGACCCCGACCACCCGTATTGGCACACCATTGAGCCTTTCGTGACATTTACCCAAAATACGGCTGCGCAACAGACCACCGGCTTTTTTCCCCTTTTTTGTAGTTCATGACCGCTCTCCGAGTGTCACTCTGCATGTCTCCTTCCTTTAAGCTCCAGCAACCTCAGCAGGCCCTTTATCTGGATAATTTAGTCTCGGCGAGATAAAAATTGCACAGTGCCGTGAGCAAGCGCAGTCAGTGAGTGCGCTCAGACTATGTGCGTTATACATGTTAGAAAAGAAAACAGGCTTTGTGCATCGCAACGTTTACTATGAATAAAAAGCATGCGATGGGCTCTAGTGATGAGCATTTTACACATGATGGGAACTTTGTAATGCTACAGGCGAATGAATAAGGTATCACACTGTAAAATGCATGTGCTACTTGTTGGGGTCTACCGTTCACAACAACAATAAAAATATGAGAGACGGTATAGGTCTGTAGGTTAGGCCTCCGAAACCTTCGACCACCAGGGGCTCTTCAACGTGCACGTAAATCTAAGCAGACTGCCTCAACCTGCCGGTCAGCAGCCGAGTGCCTTTACCACTAGACCACCACGGCGGGTGACATGCTTTACTTAGAAACTATTTGGTTGTGCCATGCGAATCTTTCTTTCTTTATTTGTGCATTACGTTAACATGATACTTTGTACTTACCAGCCTTTAGGCGTTGCAAATTCAATGAATACTGCAGTTACCTATAATTGGTCTTTTTTTTTTTTTCAGGCACTAACCGCTTTTCTCAACATATCAAAGAAATGCTTGGTCATCTTCCGGGGCTGTACTGGCGTATGTGCTGGAGTTATATAAGTCCCTTATTTCTTTTCGTGAGTATATTGTTGTCACAGGATTTGACAGCCGGAGTTATTATTCTCCTTAATTTTGTGCAGATGATGTTCCTATTTGCTGTTCTGCGCTACAAAGCCCTGGAGTGGGAAGACTACAAATTTCCAGGCTGGTCAATTTCAGTTGGTTGGCTCTTGACAGCTTCTTCTATATGTTTCGTTCCCGGCTATATTGTGATCGCTTTCCTGAAAACCAGAGGCACCATAAAACAGGTAAGAGTTGTAAAACCGAGGACGCATTACGATTCACACGCTTGAGTCTCTGCAGTCGGTGGTGAATGTGACGCGCGCCGGTATCGGTGCAGGCTACTCAGTCTACTGAGATTATACATTGAATTTGCGCCAGTATGTCTCGGGCTTAGCGTTGCATTTTTCTCTTTGGTTATGTGGTTTTTTGGGCACCATTGCTGTTGACTTGTCAATAAGAATAAAATGTTTCATGAAGGGGATGGCAAGCCTGAACTGCGGGGTAAAAGTGATAAGTGGAGCTAGAGGTGTATGGTTTGTCTGCACTTGAATCGGTTTTAAAAACTGTTCGTGTCTTTACAGGTCTGATGCTCTTTAAGCGTTGGATTTGGCTGTATTTGTTTGCCCTTGAACCACAGTAATGGTTTATCTTAGGTCTGAGCAAGATGACATTGTTATTTATGTATTGTATTGTAGTCTTTTTGCTCGCATTGATTAGTTCTAGCTCGGTCTCTGCCTCTTATTCATTGCATAAGGGAAGCCACTCTTTAACCACGCTACACACGAGTCATAGTCGTTGTTTTTGTCGTAACACCTCATAAACCACGGAGCTCCGCACTCCCCTACACGACAGTTGCAAGTAACTTCCACGCCGAAGAACCCTGCAGAATAGATAAATGGCCAAAGTACACTAGCAGCTACAATAATGAATGAGAAAAGCTGGGTTTCGATAATAATATACGACATCACTATTCCAAGAGAATTATTGCAGATGTGTAACTCACTTTCGGTAAATATATGCGCGCCATTTGAGTGCAAGGGCAGCTAGCATACACACACAAGAAAAGTTGAAATTATTGCGGCAGTTACGCGTTCGCACGCTTTTGTTCCCGCGTTATTTTTTTCGAGCTTACGAATCATAATTTTTTATTATCTTTTTTTTGCATGGAGGTTTTCAATATTCGTATTTTACATAGCTGTATAACTGCACTAACATATTAATTACTGTCCCGATCAGTCTTTAGTCATCCTAAGGCACCTACGCCTACAGAAAAACAATTTTGAAGGCATCGAGCAAATATCGCGATTCACTGATTTTTCAACTAAATTAAACATCCGGTACAATACAATTGCACTTGAATGAACGTCAGCTACATCAACTATTCAGTTGCACAAACTAATTTGAGTTTGCAAATAACGCATTTGAGTTTGCAAATTATTAGTGATCAAGAAAAAACAGCAAGGAAAAAGTGGTTTTTGTAAGTAACTTGCAATTCATAAGGGCCGATGCTCTAAATATTTCTGAAATGTCTGTGCCAAGGGCACAACAATGGCTGAATTATTCTGCAAACGCAGCTGTAAATGACAATAAAGTTGAGCTTGTTTCATAAGTACGCTTAACACTGCAAATATTTTGTGCCTTTTGTGTGCATCACACTCTACACACAATATCTGAAAACTTGTTCTCACTGCATTGCATACGTAATACAAACACACACTTTGTTTTCATACTAATTTTGTGGCGTGAACTACACGCACGGTGTTTCTGTATATCTTGAGTCGCAAATAACGGCTGCTCTCGTACAGAGTGAAAGTGCTTTGCTTCAATAAAGTCGAAATATTCACCTTTATAAAAGTGAACAAATATTCCACGTGATTGTGCGGCATAGTGTATTTATTAGATTAAATGAAGAAACTCGTATGTTATGCCATCAAACATAGTTTATTGTGGCAACTCCATAATGCCTTAGCTACACTATCGGTGCCTTACCATCGCTAAGTATTACTCAGCATTGAGTTGCTGCGACAGCAGAACAATAAATCTCGATGTTATACTGACAGCGATGCCCATTCTGGGAAACCGCTCCGGTGTCTTGCCACGCCGACTACGCGTTTTTGTCTGCTACCGAAAACTTCTTGTGCCGCTAGCTCCACCAAACCGGAGGATGCCCCAGTGTGTGCGGACACCGGGAGTTTTGCAACTTACCTAGATCTGTAAACGTTCGTTTGGCCATCGTGAACTTTCTTACAGCGCAACACCAGAAAAAAATACAGGACAGGGAAGGAGTAGAACAGAAAGAAAAGACGGCGCTCACACAACACCTGCACCTCGGCTGGACATATTCCTTGTCTGACCTTGGTGTTGGGTCAGCGCCGTCTTTTCTTTCTGTTCTACTCCTTCCCTGTCTTGTATTTTTTTCTGGTGTTGCGCTGTAAGAAAGTTCACGATGGATCCTAACCAACTGGTTTGTTTGGCCGTCGTAGTGTTACTCGATATTTTTCTAATAGGCGAATTTTCAATTTTTAGCAATAAACTATTGCATGACCTTATATAAATGCCGATTTTGATGTCGCGAAGTAGAAGCTGGGGAGGGGGGGGGACCTCCTAACAAGAAATAAAGGAAGGTTACGATAATCTCGGCAAACACTGAGACATACGTTTGATACAAAATCAAGGTCATCCGCACTAAAAGCGAAAAATCAATATTGTTGCGTCTTGCAGTATGCCGCTTTCTCTCAATTAGCGCTTGTAAAACTTGCATTTACGCTAGGTGTTCATGCAGCTCGTTGCGTCCAGTTCGAGGTGGTTTTAATTCATCCGCAATGTAGGTTTTCTGATGCGGCCCGCACCTTGGCATTTTGTGCCGTTCGTTAAACTTGAACTGTTTTCGAATACATCATTCGTGAATATTACGTAAATGTACCTTAAGTGTGCACCGTTATAAAAACAGTAATAAGCTTTTAACTGCAAGCAAATCGTTAGTAATAGGAGCAGTTACTAACTTTCTTGGGCACTTCCTAACCTTCGTGACCTTTTTACTACATAAAATTGCAGATATCTGAAGGTAGCAATGCTGTTTTTGCGCACTCTTACTAACATTTTGGTATGCACTTGTTTAAAAAAATTAGTCGAACAATTCTCAGATGTCATTATTACGAGCGTCTAGCATGCTAATACTTTCACGGGGATTTGTTAAGGTCAGTAAGGTTTTGTATGTAAGCCTAGTATATGCCCATCTTGGGTCTTCTATAGACCCTTTTCGAAAAAAGGTTGCCCCTAGTGCGGCGGACATGAACTACAGTCTGCCGCCATTGTGAGGCCACCGCAGTAGACGACGCAGAATGGGTGTCTCAATGATGCTGATGTGCGTTTCTTGCAGCGCACACCGACACCTCTTGCGTTCCTGCAGGACGCGGACCGCGTCGAGAGGGCACGTAGATGAGAGTCTCTTGCAGGCCGGATTCACGCTTTCCCAGTCATAACAAGCCAAACTGCTCGTCCAACCCCATGAAGGGTACAAAATAATGTTCATTGTGCAGCGAAAGCAGCTCAGAAAGCTTATCAGAGAGTACTAGAGCTCGTTCAAGCTAGAAAGTGGTGTGATTGCAGCGCATGATACGGAGAACTAGCCGCCAACACAAACATCACAGCACTCACGCATATGACGGCTCGCTTTCCATGTGTTCATGATGGCGCTAGCTATCGCACGCACCTTTGCGAAGCGAAACTGACGAAAAGCTCAGCGTCAGGTGGCGTATTTATGAAGAGGGTCTATACTATATAGGCCAAGTTAAAGAAGTCTTATGCAAAGCAGATACATATTCCTTGTAAAAAACCTTGATAAAGGTCCTACGCTACGTTACCTCTAGCACCTAATATACACTGTCTAAAGAAAGAGGCCAATTAAAAAATTGTTTCTCCTGAAACAGATCAGGGTACAGGCACCAGTTGCTTTCACCAATCGTATGATTATGAGCAATCCTAGAAGCGCATACCAGCTGAACGTGTCGCGTGGGCTTATCGTTGTCTATGTGTGTGGAGCTGGCAGTCATCAGGGTCCATCACTCCAGACTAAGGCTAAGGTGTGAGTGATGCCGCCGCGTCATCACCTTCGTACGAAGTTTCTTGTCTTTCGCCGCTCTATAAAATTAGAAATAATTCCTGCTTTATCTTTTTTATCTACTATTTTACGTTATGACGTTAGCCGTGTACGCAATCTCTAGCACGTATACCTGACTCCCAACTGAGGACCACCGCTATATCTAATTACCCCAGTTTTAACTACTACTCCGAAATGCAAAGCAAATAGGTTACCTTCTTAAAGGCAGCTCCAGACTATTCTTCAGCAGTTAGAGATTTTTTGCGTTTACTTTTAATGCACTCCACCCACCTGCGACGGATACACTCAACGTAACTATCGCATAGAAGTAGCTCATTCGTTCACAAAACTTCAAATACCACCATCTCGCATCTTTTCGTCATATATTCCCCATATAGAAGCACCGCCATTCAGCGGACATTTCAAGGACTAAACAAGAGGTGGCACACGCACACTTTGTTACGGCTTGCGCTTCGGGTCTACTTCCCAACTTAAACCACCTCTAGTTCATGGTATATACTAGTTACTGTGTTCATGGCGCTGTGGCCCAACGCTCGCTAAACTTTTCTAAAACCAAGGAGGTTGCGCCCAGCGAGTATAACGTAGCAACCTCTTTCTGTCACATAGTGCTCAATGCACATGCCAATGGCTGCTAATGGTAAATGAGAGGCAGGAGAATTCGGCTTTTACTTTCTTACGGCTTGCGCTTCGTATCTACTTCCCACCTTTAACCACCTCGAGTTCATGGTATATACTAGGTTCATTGTAATCAGGGCACTGCAGCTCAACGCTCCCTAAACTTTCCTAAAACTAAGGAGGTTACACCCTGCGAGTATAATGTAGCAACCCTGTCTTGTCAAATAGTGCTCAATTTACATACCAATGGCTGCTAATAGGGATCGCCGCGTGCACGTTGACTAAAAGCCGAATGATCCTGTCTCTCATTCCCCATTAGCAGCCATTGGCATGTACATTGAGCACTATTTTTTATTCTTCAACAACGCCCAGAAGAAATCTCTCACTGGCACCACCTTGGAGGTCAAAATGTTATACTTGTTACACACTATAACGGCTACGAGGGACGAACAGGTGCCGCTATAAGGAGCTTCACCCCTAAAACGAAGACGGGGGACAAATAACTGAATATTGCGGCGCGTATGTGCCAGTGGTGGCGACAACGAAGCAGCGCGAGTGTCCTTGGGCGAGGACGAAAGACGAAGAAGTCGTTGCCGTCTTTTTCCTGCGATCGATAAAGCGTAATTGTTTGAGGCGCTTTGTGTGCTCGTAGATCCCGCGTTGTCACACTGGTGGAGGTGCAGGGTAGTCTTCATGCTTCGCATCTCTTCGTGGACCCGACATTGGATCCCGGAATCGCTACCACCCGTCGACACACCAGTCCACCGTTTTAGTCGCCATTTGCGAGGCCTGGCTCCCGAGCTCAATCCCTTGCCAGAAACTGCCAGCAATCGCTTGCCTCCTTTAGCCACC